TGTTGTGTGTGGACCCCCCCAAAAAATAGTAATAATAATAAAAAAGATTAATAGAAACTAAGAACTGCCTTATTTATATAACAAATTTCCACAAAGAAAGCTATAAAAACTTGAAACCCTTTTCCAAGACAATTGGATCTCAATTAGCTTCAAAGAAACTAAAATATAGTCTGTCACTAGTTGGAAATGAAAAAACATCAGTGAAACTGTTTAGGGATAAGATGTCTCAGAAACAATACTCATTTGTGGAGGTGGGGGGGTTGGACCACACCATGTGGTAGTCAGGGCTGACTCCTGGTTCTGTGCTCAAGGATCACTCCTGGTGGCGTTTGGAGACCTTTTGGAATGCTGGCGATTGAACCTGGGTTGTCACCTGCTAGGCAAACACCCTCCCCACTCTACTATTTCTCTAACTCCTCTAATTTTTGAAGTAAAAGAGGTATCTTGCTTGTTTAGGTTTTTTTTTTTTTAGGTTTTTTTTTTTAAGTTGTTTGGGGGCCATACCCGGCGATGCTCAGTGGCTCTGCACTCAGAAATCACTCCTGGTAGTGCTTGGGAGACCATATGGGATGTCAGGGATCAAAATCAGGTAAGCTATATGTAAGGCAAGTAACCTACCCACTATACAATCACTCCAACCCCTACAGTAAAATAGTTTTTTGTAGAAAAATGTAAAGGCGGAATGGGCACTGGTGGAGGGATGGGTACTTGATCATTGCATAATTGAAACCCAAGCACAAAAATTTGTAAGTCTACAACTGTACCTCATGGTGTTTCACTAATAAAAATTTAAAAAAAAATGTAAAGGCGGGGGCAGGCAATATACATGCTAGGCTGTGATGTGGACAGGAGAAAAATGTGCTCTTTTTTTGTTTTTTTTTTTTTTGGTTTTGTTTTGGGGGCCACACCAGCTTTGCTCAGGGCATACTCCCACCTCTGCACTCAGGGACCACTTTTGGTAAGCTCAGGGGACCATAAGGGGTGCTGGGAATCAAACCTGGATTGGCCACCATCAGGAAAGTGCCCTAGATGCTGTACTGCTGTTCTGGCCCTGCACTCACTTTTTAAGCTGAAAACTTAGTGTGACAAATAGAGGCCCAAAGAGTAAATCTTCCCCCAACCAACCCATCTGGTAAATCAGATTTCTCTGTTTTTTTCCTTCTTTATCACTATTACTTTCTTATAAAAGAGTCACATTCAGCAGAGCATTAGCAATGCTGTACTTATACTCGGACCTGAGGACGGAAGGAAGGGGCCACCAGGACCGGAACTCGTGCTCCACAGAGGGGATGGGAGAAAGGCAGAGGGCAATGTGGCCATTCGGGTTAACATGATAGGCATGTGCTCTGGAATGACTCTCCTGGTCCCCAGTTTTCGTTCTTTTCTGGGTTTTATTTGTTTTCTGGCCACAGCTGGCTATGTTCAGGGTTTTTTCCTTGCTCCGCACTCCAGAACTACTCCTGGTGGTGCACAGAGGACCATAAGGGATGCCAAGGCTCAAACCTAGGTCAGCCGCATACAAGGTACCTTACCTCCTTCTATTTCCAGATCAGTTCTTGTTCTTTTTTTTTTTAATCTTTAACTAGCCTGTGTAGAAATAGAATGTTTTTAGTGTTACTGTTTCAAACCAAAGTTCTAACTCAACAAAGTAGAAACTTTAAAAATACATACCAAGACAGGAAAAGAGGAGGGGAAGGGAGGTTAAAACCTGTGGTACTCGGCACTTACTCCTGGCTCTATGCTCAGGGATCACTCCTGGCAGTGCTGGACAACATATGTGGTACTGAAGAAACTAGATCATTTGCATGCAAGGAAAGTGCCTTAACCCCCGTATTTTAGCCCTTGGGAAAATTATATTTGAATGAAATTGTTACATATTCCACAATGGGCATAAATTAAGGGCAAGGACTATTTACCCACAGGTCTCAGAAATCAGATTTCAGATTTTTAAGAGTACAGTGGTTGGGACTGGAGCGATAGATAGTACAGAGGGTACTTGCACGTGGGTCAACCGGGATTCCATCCCTGGCATCTGAAATGGTTCCCTGAGCCTGCCTGTGGTGATTCCTCAGTGCAAAAACTAGGAATAACCTCTGAGGATTGCCAGGTGTGGTCCCCAACTAGCAAACAAGAAAAGAAGTGGTTGGCAACTCATTTAAAATGCTTGCCAAAAGACATGCTAATTCAAGGTAAGTGATAGGAGAGATTCCGTTCAACTACATTTTCTCAGCCCTTTTCCTTCTCACAAAAGTCTTCTTGGGAGCAGAATTTCAGTTTGAAGCCCAGGCTCCTCAATTGAGCATTGTTTCAAAGAAAATTAAAATAACACCGTAATAAAGAGGCCATTTATGCTTTAGGAATTTTATTGTTGCTTCCCAGAAGTGTCCAAAGAGCTGCTCCTGGCTTGCCTGCTATGCACAGGTTCCTTTCACAAATCACAAAACATCCTGTTAATCGTCGATTGCCTCGAGCAGGCCCCATTAACGTCTCCTTCATCCTAGCCCTGAGATTATATTCAAGGCTCTTTAGGAGAATGAGACCCATCATTGTTACTGGTATTTGGCATATTTGGTGCGCCACGGGGAGTTTGCCAGACTCTGCCGTGTGGGCAGGCTACACTCGGTAGCCTGCCAGTTTGTCCAAAAGGTTCCTTTGCTGATGTGTAAATGGGCTTGGGCCCTAGAGCTCTCTCCAACACACCCCTGGGGTTTTCTTTCTGTCTTTTGGGCCATGACTAGGGGTGCTCAGGGCTCATTTCTGGCAGGGAAGGGGGATCAAACACAGGTTGGCTGAATGCAAGGCAAGTACCTTCCCTGCTATTTCTCCAAACCGCTGGTTCCTTTTGTTGTTGTTCTTGGGCCACACCCACAGGTGCTAAGGTGCTGGGTTTTGTGGGTTTTTTTTTGGGGGGGGGTCACTGACAGCAATGCTGACAACATCTTGAAGTGCTAGGGATCAAATTTGGATGCAGGTTGGATTCCCAGCACCCCATAAGGGTCCACTGAGCCCACCAGGATTTATCCCTGAGGATGGAGCCAAGAATACACTGTGCACAGCTGAGTGACCAAAATTTTTTTAAATTGGTACCATCTCCCTGGCTCAGGAATTTTAAAACTGTGTGTCAGCATCAGGTTCCAAGATCAACAAAGAAGTGTTCTGCAAGTTAACAGCAGAAATAGGACCTAGATCTCATTTCCAGAGGGTTTCCCACTATGTGTCTATACCACAATAAGTACTGAGTATCTTCTGTGTGCCTGGAAAAATTCTTGGTCCCTGGGGTACAACAGTGAAAAAAAAAAATGAACATCCCTACCCTGGGAAGGTTAATTCACACATTTAGCATAAGCTTAGACAATAGTAGTTTATCACGTTTATACATAGACCATCCTTTACTTTACTATAAATGTGTAAAAAGAAAGCACTTCTCTCCTAACACGTACTGTCTTCCATATACATAGGCAATTCTTTTTCTCACGGCCACACCATCCCAGCCCCGGAGATTCCAAGACTTTAAAAATAGACAAGCTCTAACAGAAAACGCTTAAAGACCTAGCACCTTCTCAGGCTGTTAACGCAATTCTAGGTCACGGGAGCGACAGTACCACGGCGATGGCGTTTGCCTTGCACAGAACCGATCCGGTTTCCACCCCTACATCCCATCTGGTCCCCGGAGCATCGCCAGGAGTATCCCTGAGCATCGCCGGGTGTGGCCCGATAACCAAAAAGCAAAACCAAAAAAAAAAAAAAAAATCACTAAAAAAACAACAGGAAAGAAAGAAACGCCATTCTAAAGTTAAAACCAAAGGGGGTAGGAGGTTGGAGGCGGGGGAGGGGCTTTTCCCTTTAAAGACTTCTGAGCAGCAAATGCGGGGGAAGCAATCCACATACTGAACACACCCAGTTACCCAGCTGTTCCTCCCTCTTGGCGCCCTTCCCGCATCTTCCAGCCCGAGAATCCCCACCAGGCCATTCTATTTACAATTCTATACTTCCCGATGCATCAACATTCCCTGATCGCAGGAGAGATGACTCAAGGGACTGATCGCGCAAAGAATGTTTCACATGCAGGAGGCCCGGCGCTCCACTCCGGCATTGCAGGAGCCAGGAGACACGCCCCAAGACGGGAGTAGAAGCCCCTGAGCTTGTCGATTGCCGGATGTGGCCCCAAACAAGACCAAAAAAAAAAAAAAAACCCAAAACAACCAACCCTAACCCCAAACCAAGCCAGACCTCACTCTCAAAGCTGCATTTGCCGCACTGACATCTTCCCACGTGCCTTCCCTCCCCCGCCCCCAATCTAATCTCTCCGCAGTCGCGGGGAGAAGTTTTGCAGCACAGTTCCACCGCGCTTTGGCTTCAGAGCCCTTTCCGTTAGAGCATTCGATCCTAGGGAGAATTCCGAGGATCTGGCACGAGCCCAAACGTGGAGAAAAGCCTCTTAGGTCCGGACTGGCAAGCGAACAGCAAGTAGGTGGCTGGAAGGGCGGCGCGGCATCCGCAGCAGCACCCGGCCTGCGCCCGCTCGCCGAAGTCACGTCCCTCTTTCCCCGCCCTCCAATCCTCCCCAGCGCTCGCCAGCTGAGCCTCCATGTCTGGCCTTCTGCATGCACGACCCCGGGCACCCGGAGTCCACCGGGCTCCGGGCCCCTGCAGGCGCCACCGCCCACCCGCGCGCTCTGGGCGCCCGGCCTCCCGCCCACCCCGGCCCTCCAACGGGAGGCCCCGGGCCCGGCCCGCCCCCGCCGCGCCTCCTCCCGGGCACGCCGCCCGCCCCGCCCCAGCGGCGGTCCAGGCTGGGGGCTCGCTCGCCCCGTCACCCCCGTGCACGCAGAGCTCCGGATGGGGAGGAGCACTCCCCACCCCCCCGTCCGCGGCAGGGTAGGCGGTGAGCTCCGCGGCTTCCTCCCAGTTCCAAGCCCCCTTCTCTCCCTTCCGCAAGCCCCGGGTATGAGGTGCGAGGCCCGGCCCCGCAGCCGGCCCCGGCTTGTTTACTCACTCACCCTCCATCCCGAGCCGCAGGACTCACCGCCAGCACGCCTGCGCGCCGAGTCCCGCCCCCGCGCCGAGACCCGCCCCGCCCCGCGCCTGCGCGCCTAGACCACGCCCCCGCGCCGAGTCCCGCCCCGGTCTGTGCGCAGAGACCACGCCCCCGAGCCCCGCCCCGCCCGCGCCAGTGCACCGAGGCCACGCCCCTTCTCGGGTCCCGCCTCTGCCCCGCCCCGCCCCGCGCTTGCGCGCTGCGCCGCCGGCGATGGGCCACGCCCTCTCACTGGGCTCCTTTCCGTCTACAGTGTCTGGAAGACATTATTCGGCACTTACACCGTCCCCACGCTCAAGGGACACTAGCCATTTCATTTCACCATTTGAAACTAACTTGAAAAAGCCTGGCTATCGATCCCTCACACCTACCACCCCCCACCCAGACACCTACTATGTGCTCTGGTATCTTTCTTTCTTGTTTTTGATTCCGGGCCACACCTGGTGATGCTCAGGGCTTACTCCTGGGTCTGGCTCAGGGATCATTCTGGGCGGTGCTCAGGGACCTACTGGAGTCCGGGGACCGAACCCGGGTCGGACACATGCAAGGCAAACGCCTTACCTCTGATTTACACCTCCGTCCTCTCTCTGGTATCTTCCTTGGAGTATTTATACCTGACTTCCCTATTTGTCAGTGGTTATCCTGGTGACTTAGACTCGAATTAATGACCGTTGATCAGAGTATCTCCTCACAAGATACCTATAAGTTGCAAAGGGAAAACGGTAACTTGACAAGAGAGACAGCTCCATAATCAAGTGATAAAGACCATCTGCTTAATGAAAGTGCTTCCTTTTTTTTTTCTTTTGTTTTGTTTTTCTTTTTGAGTCACACTCAGCTCAGAGGTTACTCCTGGCTCTGCACTCAGGAATTACTCCTGGCGGTGCTGGGGACCACATGGGATGCTGGGAATCGAACCATTCGGGTGCCTACTAGACAAACGCCCTACCCACAGTACTATAGCTCCAGCCCCAAAAAGTGCTTCTTGTTTTGAGGTTCTGATGCCACCTAAGATTTCTCATTCGGTTTTCTTGGTGTTTTCGTTTGTTTTTATTTTATTTTTTTGTTTTGGGTTTTGTTGTTATATTTGGGGAAACCACACCAAGCTGGGCTCAATCAGGACTTGGGTTACTCCTGACTCTATGCTCAGGGATCACTCCTGGGGGCTCAGGAGACCCTATGTGTGCTGGGATGGAAACTGGGTCAGTCACAAGCAAGGGTTTAGTAATCTTGTTCACTAAAGGATTATAAAAACAAATTTTCACATTCCAGGAAAAAAAAGTGTGAGCATCTAGGGGAGAAACTTGTTTGCAAGTTGGCAAGTGCCATACCCATAGTACAATATCACCAGACCAGAATATTTTGGGGGGAATGTAAAATGGAACTATACCTAGCTCTGCTCAGGAGTCACTGCTTTTACTGGCTCTGAGCTCAGGGATCACTCCTTGGTGAGGCTCTGGGGATCACATAGAATGCAAGAGATGAATTGGGTGGGCCCAGAGATACAGGCCTAAACTCCAAGAGGCTTTCCCCACCCTCACCTGGTCTTTTTTTTTTTCAGGGGGTCACACCCAGCAATGCTCAGGGATTACTCCTGCACGCAGGAATTACTCCTGGTGGGGCTTGGGGGACCATATGGGATGCTGGGGATCAAACCTGTGTCTGCCGCGTGCAAGGCAAATGCCTTACCCACTGTATTATTGCTCCAGCCCCAGCAAACTCCAAGAGTTTTAAGAATATTCCAGAGCTTGCATTGTGCAACTAAATTTGAAAAGAATCGCATATATAAATAGTAGATAGCACGGTCCTCCCGTTGTTCATCGATTTGCTCGAGCGGGCCCAGTAACGTCTCCATCATGAGACTTGTTGTTACTGTGTTTGGCATATTGAAATATGTCACGGGTAGCTTGCCAGGCTCTGCCATGCAGGCGAGATACTCTCAGTAGCTTGCCGGGCTCTCCGAGAGGGGCGGAGGAATCGAACTCAGCTCGGCCATGTTGGCTGCGTGCAAGGCAAACACCCCACCGCTGTGCTATCGCTCCAGCCCGCATAAATTTGAATATGGTTTAACTGATCTCCACCAGGAACAACCCTTGAGCACCTATCTGGGAGTAGCCTTTGAGAACTGTATGGGTGTGACCCCAAAATGAAAGCCAACAACAAAAATGCAAAAAAGCATGTGGGTTAAGAAAAAGAGAAAGACCCTCTAGTACAGCAGGTAGGGTGCTTACCTTGCACATTGCCAGGTATCACATTAAGTCCCCTGAACCCCATCAGGAAGGATCCTTGAGCACAGAGCAAGGAGTAAGCCCTGAGCAGCTCCAAGTAAGCTCTGAGCCCCCAAACAAAACAAAAAAAGACTTGGGGTGAATGGTGGATAAAAAAGAAAAAGTGAGGGAAGGTGGTGCAATAGTACAACAGGTAGTATATTTGCCTTGCATGCGGCTGACTGAGGTTTGATTCTGGCATCCCGTGTGGTCCCCCAAGCACAACCAGGAGCAATTTCTGAGTATAGAGCCAGGAGTATCCCCTGAGCATCACTGGGTGTGACCAAAAAAAAAAAAAAAAGAAAAAGAAAAATGGGGTGGAGAAGTAGTACAATGGATAAGGTGCTTGCTTTACAAGCAGCTAACCCCATTTTGATCTCCAGAATACCATTTGGTCCCCTGAGCACAGCCAAATATGACCCCCCACACACACACACATACACAAAAAGAAGTCTAGCAAGATAGTACAGCAGGTAAGGCACCTTATAAGTGGTTCACCCAGGTTCAATCCTGAGTATCCTATGTGGTCCCTGAGCACTACCAGGAGTAAGCCCTGAGCACCGCCCCTAAAATAAAAAGAAAAAAAGGAGAGAAATAAAAAGACTCAGAGCCTGGAGGAATATCTCAGTGCCTTAGCCTGTTTGCCTTACAAGTGTTTGGCTGTGAGTCCCTTCCCCAGCACCACTGCACAAACCAAGCGCGATCCTGTCAGTTCTGCTGTTGGACCCTGATGGCTCTGATCTCTGTAATCATCAGCATTGTGAGCAGTTTCTGGCCAGACCACAACCAGGTATGTAAGCACTGAGAGTGGCGCAGCCCTTGCCAAACGTGTGCACTGTAACTGAAGGAGTTACAAACCTTGAAGTGTGTGTGGTCACCACAATTCGATGTGTGACCCCAAAGAATACCATAGCTAAAATGTGTGAGCGCTGGAGCCAAGTGTGTGCCACCTCTGGTCATCACATCAACACACCGGGCAGTGTCAGGGCTTACTTCTGAATCTGCACTCAGAGCTTACTCCTGGCAGAACACAGGGAGGGGACTCCGTGAGGTGCCAGGGATTGAACCCAGGTCAGTTTCCTACAATGCAAGGGACTTACGTGCTGTTCTATCCCTTCAGTCCCTGTATTATGGATTATCTAAAGAGAGATTCAGAGGCCAAAGTGATTGTACAGAGGACTGGACTTTTGTTTTGTATGCGGCTGACTCGGGTTTGTTCTCTGGCATCTCATTGGCTCCCCAAGCACGACCAGGAATGATTCCTGAGTGCAGAGCCTGAAGTAACCCCTGAGCATTACTGGGTGTAGCCCCAAACCCAAAACAATTAAAGAGAGATTTAGAAGATGTGAGTGTCAGGACCGAGCCTGGAGAGAGACTTGGGAACCATGAACATACTGGAGGGAGCCAACATTGGTTTAGACAAGAATGCCAAGTGACAAGAGTAGGAGAGTCACATAGAAATGTTGTAACAACCAAGAAAATACAGTCACCAGAAAGGAAGGAAGAGAAAAGATCTATGTTAAAGTTGTAGATCTGAATAGTGCAGCCAGTTCAACCTCCCCCTCCTTTTCAAACCTTCCAGCGCTCCTGGACCTGGCACTCCGGTGCCACTTTAACTCTCAGGCCCCACCATTCCCCTCTCTCAGATCTGCCGCCATACTTGGCAGAGAACTAGACCCACAGTTTAGTAATCCTTGCTCACTGGAGGATTATAAAAACAACTCTCCACATTCCCCCCAAAGTGTGAGCATCTTGGGGGCAGATTTGTTTGCCAATTGGTTCCTCCTCATTGACATGGGAGAGTTTTTCCCGGGACCAGGCTGTTTCTTAACTGACCTCAGTCCAAGACACTTATCGGCTCATCTTAGGCCAGCTCTTTCCGGCCTTTTTTTTTTTTTCTTTTTTTTTTTTCTTTTCTCTTTTCCATCTCTTCAGGTCTTTGTCCTATAAATTTTTAGGAAAACTATTAATTGTCAAAGGCTCAACAACTGGACCTTTGAAAAATAATACTAAGGCTTCTAGCCCCCTCCTCCCATCCCCACCCCCAGGCCGTTAATGGGGAAAGAAATAAACTGTGTCACTTCTGGCTTCCAGTTGCTCATCTTGCTCTTAAATTGGAGGCCTCTGGGGCTGAAGAAAACTGGACAAAGTGTGCTGAATAGCCTAAGAGGGGAGGTTCTTCTTCTCTTTTTTTTTTTCTTTCTGAAAGCTCCCTGTTGCGGAAAAATAAAATTATGTGTTTAATTTCTGAAACCTGATCCCTGATTTGCCTTGGCAGTCCTTCTCCCGGCCTTGGCCAAGAGTCCAGCAACACTAGCGTCCTGATGAATGCTAGTTCCGCTCGCTCCCTGGAGGAGAAGAGCTTTATGTCCATGCTCACGTTCTTAAATCCTCTGAAATGTGCATATGTCATAGCAGGATCTTACTGATTTTTTTTTTTTGCATTTTTTTGGGTCACACCCCCCGGCAATGCACAGGGGTTACTCCTGGCTCATGCACTCAGGAATTACTCCTGACGATGCTTGGGGGAACCATATGGGATGCTGGGAATCGAACCCGGGTCTGCCACGTGCAAGTCAAACACCCTACCCGCTGTACTATCGCTCTAGCCCCGATCTTACTGATGTTGGTGTGCCATGCCTCTGACCCCTGGGCCCAGGGAAGCCTGTGCATTCATCTCTCCATCACAAGGAAAGCTTTGGTTCAACCCAGTGATTAGATTGACATCACACATTCTAGTCCTTCTGTGGCAGGCAAGTTCTGAGTGTTCCTTTGTCCCCTGCA